GGGATTCGAACCCGCCACCTTAGGTGTATGTGGCTGGTGCCTTAGCCGCTTGAGCCACAGGCGCCAAGCCAAGAATTTTTTAGACAAAGAACCAATAAGGCTATAGCAGGGAGCCATCTACATGACCCCTCCCCAACTTTTCCACCCAAGTAGTTCAGTACTAATGGCAGAGGAAACAGACCAAAATTTTCCCCATAAAAATTCCAATTATGTTCAGGGAAGAAGCTGCATGCTAATTAATTGGGTTCCCAGTCTCCCTATTCCCTTGTTTGAAAAGCAGATCCTGTACTTGCCAAGCATTCTATTAGATGCTGTGGGTGGGGGAGGAGAAATTATGAAGAAGGTGACCAGGGTACTGTGTCTAATGTGTGTCTCTCCCTGTCTTGCCCCCCCACCAAGTCTCAGCAGGCAGGATCCGGAGGCACGAGAGGATGTTGGCTATGCCAGCCTTGAGCTACCGGGGGACTCTACCCTCTCACTACCCACCCTAGACACAGAGGAGACCGGTGATGACCTCATTTCACCCTACGCCAGTTTCTCCTCCACGGCAGACCGCCCCACGCCCCTGCTCAGTGGCTGGCTAGACAAGCTCTCACCTCAGGGGTGGGCTGATGGGAAGGGAAAGGAGAGGAGGGACACTGGGAGGTGGAGGAAGGGCAGGTCCCAAGTGTTCCCAGACTCTGTGGTCCCCCAACTCCATGCAACCCCAAACACTTATCTTGGCCCCTTCCTTCCTCAGAAATTATGTCTTCCAGAGGCGCTTTGTGCAGTTCAATGGGAGGAGTCTAATGTACTTTGGCAGTGACAAGGTAGGGGACAAGAGATGCTCTGTGAGACTAGGGAGAGGGAGAAGAAGGGCTGGGGAGGCTCAGGATTGGAAGGAGAAAAGCCTTCCAACGGCGGGGGAGGGGGTTGGTTACCATATGCCTGATGTAAGCAGTTAAAGTAGTTGGCTTAGCAGCTGTACCCACTCCTTGTGGATTGAGTGCTGAGCTTGGAAAAGCTGGTGCTGGACCCAAGGGTCAGCACACATTGCTCAGTTCCTGTCCCCATGGGTCACTGAGCTCTGTCTCCAGGACCCCTTCCCCAAGGGTGTGATCCCTTTGACTGCCATTGAGATGACCCGTGGCAGCAAGGACAATAAGTTCCAGGTCATCACCAGCCAGAGGGTGTTCATGTTCCGCACAGAGAGCGAGGGTGAGGGCCAGGGCTCCTGGGTCAGGGTGGGAGGAGGGAGGCTGTGTGAGCACATAGCCTGCTGATCTGCTTCCTTGTCATCCACCAGCCCAGCGGGACATGTGGTGCTCCACGTTGCAATCCTGCCTGAAGGAGCAGCGTCTTCTGGGCCACCCGCGGCCCCCCCAGCCACCCCGACCCCTCCGCACGGGCGTGCTGGAGCTGCGTGGACATAAGGCCAAGGTGTTTGCTGCTTTGAGCCCTGGAGAGCTGGCGCTGTACAAGAGTGAGCAGGTAAGGAGGGCTGCTGTGCTGGGGCCAAGGGGCCTGTCCATTCTGGTACCTCACAGGCCTCCCTCCCCTAGGCCTTCACTTTGGGCATTGGGATCTGCTTCATCGAGCTACAAGGCTGCAGTGTCCGGGAGACTAAAAGTCGAAGCTTCGACCTGCTCACACCCCATCGCTGCTTCAGGTGGGGCTTGGGCTAGTGGGAGGCAAGCCTGGGGACTTTGAGGGAGGCATAAGGCTGGGGAGGACCAGAGGTCTCCTCAGGAGGATGTTAGTGGTCTTACACTGATGGGAGTCCAGAGAGCAGGGTCAAGATATCAGGAGGGCCTAGGCTGGCCCACATGTGGCCTGTTGTGGTTCCTGCAGGAATAGCTGGTGGGATGGGATATGGGGGGAGGTCCATGCCCACGGACTGGCTGTCCACCCCTCAGCTTCACAGCCGAGTCTGGGGGGGCTCGGCAGAGCTGGGCGGCCGCACTGCAGGAAGCAGTAACTGAGACCCTGTCTGACTACGAGGTGGCTGAGAAGATCTGGTCCAATCGGGCAAACCGGCACTGTGCAGACTGTGGGGCCTCCCGCCCAGACTGGGCTGCTGTCAACCTGGGCGTGGTCATCTGCAAGCAGTGTGCAGGTGAGGGCTGGGGCCTCAAGTCCAAATGGGTAGCAGGAGGAGGGGTAGGAATTGGAGGATACTCATGTCTAATGTCCCTTGTACCCTAACAGGTCAGCACCGGGCCCTGGGTTCTGGAATCTCTAAGGTGCAGAGCCTGAAGCTGGACACAAGTGTCTGGAGTAATGAGATCGTACAGGTGAGGGGTCTGAAGAGGGAGAGGGTGGGACGGGTGAAAGACAGCTTCAGAAAGCAGGCATTTATACCAGCTTGGGGACAGGATTGGAATGTCTGAGGAGTCTTCCTGTCACTTACCTCCACCTGTTGTCATCTTACAGTTGTTCATTGTCCTGGGAAATGATCGTGCTAACCGCTTCTGGGCAGGGACACTACCCCCAGGGGAGGGGCTGTATCCAGACTCAAACCCTGGCCCCCGGGGAGAGTTCATCTCCCGAAAGTACAAGTTGGGTCTCTTCCGGAAGCCCCACCCTCAGTATCCAGATCATAGCCAGCTTCTCCAGGTAGGATGGACAGGGTGGGGCTGATGGGAGAGGGGCAGTCTTTGAGTTGGAATGCCTAGGCTTGGGTGACAGGGGCTGTTTTGGTGTCCCTTGGACTCTTAGTCTGGGTTTGGGGGCAGACAAAGGCCTTTCCTTCCCTGCAGGCACTGTGTGCAGCTGTGGCGGGACCCAACCTGCTGAAGAACATGGCCCAGCTCTTATGTGTTGAGGCCTCTGAGGACGAGGAGCCCTGGTCCCCTGCAGCCCCTGATGGAAGCTTCCCTGGCCATCTACCAGCAGGTTATTTCCCTAAGTGCTCCCTCTCTCTTCCCTGGGAATTCTCAGCCTCAACCTGTGATTTGGTTCTTCTAGGAGGCTCCAATTACCCCATCATCTGGTCCATCACAACAGCCCACACTAAGCAGTTTCCCAGCCCCTCAGATCCTCAGGGCCTATTTTCTGATGTCATGAGATCACTGATAATGGTCAGGGCCTGGGCTGGGTCTGGATGTTCCAGGGGCTAGCGCTGGTCCATCCCTGACAGGCTCAACCGATAAGTCAGTTCTCATCTTATTGGGGAGCTCTCAAAGAAGTGATAAGTTTAACAGTGGTGCTCTCCATTGTTCAGGCCACAAGGGCTGAGATGCCTGCAGGATAGCCCTTGCTCTAGGTGCCTAGCCAGAGCTAACTGCCTGGCTGGCTGGCTGGCTGGTGGGGAGCAGGAGGGGGTAGGGGCTGGGCTAGAGGCCTCCCTCTCTCATCAACCCCTGTCATATTCTTTTCTAATCTGGGTAGTGACAGTTCCAGGCTTACTGGGCCCAATCTGGCCATGCTGCCAGTGAAGTTGGGTTCTGCTATCTTCTGTTTAATCCATTCCCCAGAAAGGATCAGGCTTCACAAGATTACTTCTCCTTTCCCTTGCAGACCCCTCACCTGGTGTGTACAATGAGGTGGTGGTGCCTGCTACTTACAGTGGTTTCCTGTACTGTGGTCCCATCAGCAACAAAGCTGGACCCCCACCACCTCGCAGGGGCCGAGATGGTGAGGGGGAGCCAGGGGAGGGGAGCATACAGGGACAGGAATTGGGGAGGGTATGAGTATGCAGAGGACCAGGGAGAAGAGGGCTGGGATGGGAAAGTGGGGCCATGCCCTAGAGGGGACGTGCTGGGGGAGAGAGGGACCTTGCCAGGTGGTACCGCTAAGTGATAGTTAAAAACCTCTGCTCTGAAGTCATACTGTCTGGGTCAAACTCCAGCTTTGCTAGTTCCCACCTATGTGACATGGGCAAGTAACTCAAACTCTGATCCTCAGTTTCTCCATCTGTAAAATAAGATGGAATATAATATTCACCCCATAGGTTATTGTGAAGATTACATGGGAGCACACATATGCAAGGGCTTGGCATAGAATAGATATTTGCCAATGGGAACTATGACAGTAGGGGCAGAGGTCTCCTGTCCCTGACCATCTCTCTCCCCCTTAGTTCCCCCCCGCCTGTGGTGTGTGCTGGGAGCTGCTCTGGAAATGTTTGCATCAGAAAGCAGCCCTGAACCTGTCAGCCTCATACAGCCCCAGGATGTTGTATGTCTGGGTGTGAGCCCCCCACCCACTGACCCAGGTGACCTCGACAGGTATCAGCTCGCCATGCTCATTGAGCATCTTTCTATCCCTGGTCTGCAGCCCAACTGTTCCTCATTGGCCCCCACTCTCCTCCCTGACCTCATCTCTCCAGGTTCCCCTTTTCCTTTGAGCTCATCCTCACCGGTGGGAAGATTCAACATTTTAGCACAGATGGAGCTGACAGCCTGGAGGCCTGGACTAGTGCCATGGGCAAGGTGAGAGAGCGAGACCCCTCCATAGCAGCTTGAGATTTCCCTAGCCCCACCTGCTCCCATACTGTCCTCTCTTGTTCCTATAGCTGTTTCCACAGCTTCCACTAACAGCTGAAGTTGACTGAGCGCTTATTCTGTGCCAGGCCCCATGTTAAGCACTGCCTACTCAATATCTCAATTTTCACAACAGCCCACAGAGATAAGGATTTTTAATATTTTTTATGTAAAGAAACCAAGTCTCAGTCAGAGGTTATGAAGTCACATGGCCAGAGTCACAGAGCTCAGAGGCAGCAGAGCACAGGACTGAAAATCAGGCCTCTGTCTCCAAAGCCCATGCCATAAACCTCTCTGTACCCCAGCCTATTCCCACAGAGAAGCTGCCTCTGCTTCCTGCTCCCTCCATCCCCCCAGTTCACCACCAGCAGGCCCAGAGGTATAGCTATCGTCCTATGTCTCAGATTTTTAGACAAGCCAATCTCTGCATTCTGTTTTCTCTTCTTGGAATTAAAAGTTCACAACCTAAAGTCAGACATCCTGGGATTTGAATCCCAGAACTCTCAGCCTTGTGAGCTTCTCCACATCTGTAGAGTGGGCGTAACAAACTCACCCCCTAGGGTTGAGGATTAAGTGACATGTGAGGCCCACACACAGCAAGCCCCCAATACGTGGGTGTTGAACTGATAATGATGGTAGTGATGATCAGTGACGACAGTCTTTCCCATCCTAAAACAGCGTTTCCCTAAGCTCTGCTGCACCTTCAACTTTTCACCCTGGCACCCTCCTTTCCCTCCTGACAGCTTCTCAGAAAGTCGTGTGCAGCCTGTGGTTCCTCCTCAACCCCTTGCAGCTGCCCCTCCTCTGCCGTACTCTCCTGAATTGCCACCCTGCATGTCACCAGTGGCTTCCCACTTCCCAAGTCCGAGACTGCCACCTAGCCTCAGCAGATCCTCTGTATGGCATCTGGCACTCCTCTGCAGGAAATGCTCGACTCCTCTGGCTTCTGACCCCCTCTCCCCGGCCTTCTACATCTCTTCATACTAACACACTTTCTCCATTTCTTTTCAAGGCTCTGTCGTGGCCCTCCCAACCAGATCTAAGTCTCCTCTTGTTATGAGCTACACTTTCCAAAAGTCTGGTCTATCTTTTAAGGCAGTGCTGCCCAAAGTGTGGTGTAAAGACTGTTACACGGTACTGGTCCATGGATCATTTGTATGGTCTTTGACAGGATAAGCACGGAACTGGAGAGTAAGCATTTAGAATCTTTTACAGTAATTTGACAGTAATTTTATGTGTTCAATCTAATTGTAAAAACTAAGGGCTTGTATGTCTTTGTTTTTTCATCTTAATTTTCCAGCAATTCATTTTTATTGTTTTTAATCAAAGTACAGCAGTTGGTTAGTAACAGCTTGGAACTTCCTTTATAAAAAAGAAAAAAAAATCCGCTCCTTTACCATAGGGAAAGGTAAAGGTAAAGCACTGCTTTATGGTTGATCTCAAACACCTCTTTCTCCACTAAGCTCTTCTCTGGCTCCCTGGGGTGGTGAAATTTCCCAGAGCATCATGACTATTCAGTGATAGCATTTAGGTTATAAAGAATGGGCATTCCTGAGGGTGGCGCTGTGGCTCAAAGGAGTAGGGCGCCAGCCCTATATGCCAGAGGTGGCAGGTTCAAACCCAGCCCCGGCCAAAAACTGCAAAAAAAAAAAAAAAAAAAAGAATGGATATTCCTTCTTACCCCACACCCCAATTAAGGGCACAAGGCTGCCACGCAGGGGTTTCTCTATGTTGGCTGGAGCAAATTGAGTTGAACTGAATGTCTATCCTATCTTTTTCCACTCATCTCCTATCTCCTCCTTTGTTCTCTCCCATCAATTTCATTACTCTTTTTCCTCTGCTTTCTCTTCATGTCTTTCTGTGCTTTTCTCTATCCCTCTCGTTCTCATTCCTCCTCTCATTCTCTATCCCTCCTCGTCCTCCACCCCTGTCTCTTCCCCCCTTCTTCTCTCCTGTCTTCCCCTGCCTCTACAGTGGTTCTCCCCGCTGAGCTGTCACCAGCTACTGGGCCCTGGGCTGCTGCGGCTGGGCCGCCTGTGGCTGCGGTCCCCCTCCCATACAGCCTTGGCCCCCGGTCTCTGGCTGTCAGCGTTTGGCCTCCTTCGTGGTGACCACCTCTTCCTGTGTCCAGCACCGGGCCCAGGCCCCCCAGCCCCTGAGGACATGGTACATCTACGGAGGCTACAGGAGATCAGTAAGCAGGGATGGGGCCAGGGATGAAGGCTGGCCATGGGTGAGTGGGAGTGGACTTTTTTATTTGGGAGTTCTTATGGGAAACAACAGAATGTAGTGGCTTTAGGCACAAGCTCTGAAGGGAAACTGCCCAGATTTAGACCCTACTTTCATCACTTCCTCACTGTGTGCCCTTAGACAAGTTACTTAGCCTTTCTGTTCTCTAGTTTTCTCATCTTTAAGATGGGCACAATAATAAGACCTTCCTCACAGGGTTGTAGTGAGGTTCAAATAGGATAATTAGATTAAACACTTATCATGGAGCCTGGCAGGAGGCATCTTATACATGCTCAATAAATATTATCAATATATGTTGTTTTTGTTATTATATGATATCACTTGCTAGTTGGGGTCTGGGGAAGGGGAATGAGTTTCCTCACTCCTCTCCTGTCACCTAAAACAAGAACAACATAGGATATTTTAGGACTTTGGAAATAAGAGACCTGGGTTTGAGCTCAGCTTTGCCTTTCCATAGCAAGTAATCTGGGGCAAGCTACATAATCTCTGAGTTTTAATGTATCACCTGTAAACTGGGGACAATTGTATATAACTCATAGGATTGAATGGAACATTGTTTGTAAGGCTCCTAGCCTCGCACCTGTATACCTTAAACACTTAGTAGTCATTGTGATGAAGAAGATGATGATGTAATGTCTAATTTCTCTCCTCCCAGGTGTGGTCCCTGCAGCTGACACCCCAGACAAGAAGGAGCATTTGGTCCTGGTGGAGACAGGAAGGTAACTGTTGATCCTACCCTTGACCCAAGCACCTCTTTCTGGAGCTCAGCCCACACTCTCCACCCTGGCCTGCAGGACCACTGCTCACTTCCTCCAATTTGCTTCCCCAGTTCAGGCATTATCTGGGTTGGGTATTGCTGCCCCCTGCCGGTGGCTCTGGGAAGTCAGTTCCCTGTGCTCCTGCACCTCAGTCATAGGACCATCTGGAGCTGATTCTGACTCAGGCTTCTGGGGTCTTAGGACCCTGTATCTGCAGGGGGAGGGCCGGCTGGACTTCTCAGCATGGAACACAGCCATTGGAGGTGCAGCTGGTGGGGGCGGCACAGGGCTGCAGGAACAGCAGATGAGCCGAGGTGACATCCCCATCATCGTGGACGCTTGCATCAGTTTTGTCACCCAGCATGGTTAGTATGCACTAGCTAACACTGAGCCATTGGGGAGGGGGTGGAGGGCATAGACAGCCGGGGTGGGGGATAAATCACCTGAAAGAACTTTGTCTCCAAAGACTGCAAGTTCAGTTTCCTCATGTGTAAGGTAGTGCTGACCATCCTCATTTTCCAGGATGGTTGTGGTAGTGAGCTAATGCATGTCAAACATTAAGCACAGGGCCTGGCAGGTAGTAAGTGTTCAAAAGTAGCTGTTACTGAAGTGTGGGCATGGAGGGTGACAGCAGCCCTGGAAATGTAACTGAGGGCATAGAGCCATGGCCACAAAGAGGGGTCAGCTGTGAGGCAAGAGCAAAGCTGTGCAGCAAAATCCCTGAAGATTTGAGCACAATTATTTTGTGTGGGAGGTTTTCTAGGCAAGTGGTCCCCAGAATTCTTTGTGAGTTTTTTCCTCCAGCCCAAGTAAGGAACAAAGAGAATCTATCACCCTGTGAGCCCTCTTTAGAAGGCTGGACTCTTGAGAAGGAAAATTAATGAAAGCTAAGGGAGTTTTCTGTCATCTCTCAGTATCCATGGGGAATTGGTTCCAGGACCCCTGTGGATATATAGTAACAAAACCTGTAAATGCTCAAGTGCCTTATATAAAATGATGTAGTATTTGCATACACTATGTATCATCCTGTGTACTTTAAATCTGTGGTGCCCCAACCCCTGGGCATGGGGCAGTACTGGTCCAAGGCCCGTTGGGTCTATGGCCTGTTAGGAACCGGGCTACACAGCAGGAGGTGAGTGGCATGTAAGTCAGTGAAGCTTTATCTATATTTATAGTCGCTCTCCACCACTCATATCACCACAAGAGTTCTACCTCATGTCAGATAAGTGGTGGCATTAGTTTCTCATAGAAGTAATTAGTTTCTCATAGAAGTAGAAACCCTACTGTAAATGGAGGATGTGAGGGATCTGGGTTGCATCCTCCTTGTGAAAATCTAATGCCTGATGATCTGAGGTGGAGATACAATGTACAGAATCATCCTGAAACCACTGTCCCCCATCAATGTAGAGAATCATCCTGAAACCACTATCCCCCACCCCTAGTCCATGGAAAAATGGTTTTGTGTAAAACCAGTCCCTGCTGCCAAAAAGGTTGGGGACAACTGCTTTAAATCATCTCTGAGTTACTTTTAATACTTAACACACTGCAGATGCTATGTAAATAGTTGTTTTACTATATTTTTATCTGAATTATTTTTATCATTATATTGTTACTTTATATTGGTTTGTTTTTCAAATATTTTCAACCTGTGGTTGGTTGAATTCACAGATGTGGAACTCATGGATATAAAGGGCCAATTGTAAAGGAAGGAAAGGCACTGACATGGACAATGTGTAGTTAGTGGCTATAACATTCTCTATGCTGTGGCAGTAGCCTATTTCTGTGACTTCCCACACTCACTAGACCTCTGTCTTCTTCTCAGCCTCCCTTGTGTGCAAAGGAGGATTTAAGTCAGAGGTCCAGTGAGAAAGCCTTGGAGAAAGAGTTCCCTCCCCTGCAAGGTTCCTGTATCACCACTGTTCGTTCAACATGTATATGGAACTGCTACCGTGTGCCAGACACTGGGGATAAGGGAGTGAACAAGAAAGGTCCTACAAATCTTGCAGACTAGTAGAAGAGATGGGTAATAAATAAAAACCCAAATATAGCCGGTTCTTGTTATTTGTAGTAGTTATGTTCCATAAAATTACCACAAAAATTAGTGAACATGGGCGGCACCTATGGCTCTGTGAGTAGGATGCTAGCCCCATATACCGAGGGTGGTGGGTTCAAACCTGGCCCCGGCCAAACTGCAACAAAAAAATAACCGGGTGCTGTGGTGGGCGCCTGTAGTCCCAGCTTCTTGGGAGGCTGAGGCAAGAGAATCGCCTAAGCCCAAGAGCTGGAGCTTTGCTGTGAGCTGTGACACCATGGCACTCTTCTGAGGGAGATAAAAGACTATCTCTTAAAAAAAAAAAATTAGTGAACAGTGAATCATTGTGCCAGGGAAATACAGGGTTAGGTTCCTGCAAGCTTCTGGTTACAACATTATCATCAACTGATCAATATGTAACCTTGCTTTATGTATTTTGCTGTTTAAAGACACCTTGTTTAATATATATTGCTGATTAATACTGAACTCAAGACCACAGCACTATAACTCATGCCTAAGTCAAACTTGTATTGGCACATCACACCTTTCTCATGTTTGGGACACTAGACAGCACTTTAACACTACATTTGGGGACCATTTTAAACGGTGAAATCACCAAAAGCATGAAAATATGAAAAATGTGACTCTAAATATACTGTGAAAGTACACTTGTTTGTACTATGAGACCTAAGCTGAGAACATGCACATTAGGGTGGCGACTTAAATTATTCCCTGGTCTGTGCATGTTTGTTTGTAAATGACTGTGAAAATGCCAGAATGTATTGATTTGGGGCAAATCAATAAATTTTTAGCAAGTAGGTGAATGTGCAAACAGAATCTGCAGATAATAAAGATCAACTGTAATATGATTTTAAAGAGTAATATTTAAAAATAAAAGTGCCGAGGAGATACAGCATTATGGGGGATGCTATGTGACAGGAAGGTCAGGAAAAGACTTTCTGAGAATGAGAACTCCAGCAGTGTGCTGAGAATCAAGACCACAGGGGCACAGAGCTCTTCTCTGACTTACTTTCTCCCAATAGCTGCATTCCATGTGGGAAGGTCAAAGATGGTCTGTGGTGGGTGGTGGTATGTCTTTGCACAGTGGTGAGCAGAGACAACTGGCTGTTCTCAGGGCTCCGGCTGGAGGGTGTGTACCGGAAAGGGGGTGCTCGTGCCCGCAGCCTGAAACTCCTGGCTGAATTCCGTCGGGATGCCCGGTCAGTGAAGCTCCGACCAGGGGAACACTTTGTGGAGGATGTCACTGACACACTCAAACGCTTCTTTCGTGAGCTTGATGACCCTGTGACCTCTGCACGGTTGCTGCCTCGCTGGAGGGAGGCTGCTGGTAACTCCCAAGATCCCTAAGAACCAAGGCCTAACCTTAGATTTCAATCCTTTCCCACCAGAATCCATGATTGGGCAGCCCACTTCCCTTACATTCTCACCCTAGGGGATGATCCAGAGACTTGGCTTAGGAGGAGGATGAAGGGGAGAGAGACACATCCATCCTGGCTTTGTTTCTCTAAAACTTTCTCCCTCCACTCCAGCCTCCACTCTCCCTTCCTGGATTCTCTCCAACCCTCCTCCATTCCATCCTCAGAGCTGCCCCAGAAGGATCAGCGCCTGGAGAAATACAAAGAAGTGATTGGCAGCCTGCCGAGGGTCAACCGCCGTACACTGGCCACCCTCATTGGGCATCTGTATCGGTCAGTATGGCCAGACCTCTTGCAAGCACCCTTCCTGATCCTTCCTCATCTCAATTTGACCCTGCACTTTCATTCATTCATTCCACCAACAGTTTTTAAGTGAAGGTGTTGTAGAATAAAGGTTCAGAGAATGGATTTGGGGGTCAGGCAGACGTAAGCTTTAATCTGGCCCTATCATTCTACCTGTGTGACTTTGGGTAAATTATTTGTTTTCTCTGAGCCTCAATGTCTTTAGATGATGTAATGAGGAGTAGTATCTATCTTATAGGTTATGAGAGAGATAAATGCGATAATTCTTGTAAAATTCTTAGTACAGCACCTGGCATGTAGTAAGCCTTTAGCAATGGTTAGCAATCATTATTATTTTATTATTCTATGTCAAGTAAAGGGTTAGATGTAAGAAATATAAAGATGGCTTGGTGCCTGTGGCTCAAGTGGCTAAGGCGCCAGCCACGTACACCTAAGGTGTTGGGTTCGAATCCAGCCCAGGCCCACCAAAACAACAATGACGGCTGCAACCAAAAAATAGCTGGGCATTGTGGTGGGTGCCTGTGGTCCCAGCTACTTGGGAGGCTGAGGCAGGAGACTTGCTTGAGCCCAGCAGTTGGAGGTTGCTGTGAGCTGTGATGCCATGGCACTCTACCCAGAGGGACAGCTTGAGGCTCTGTCTCAAAAAAAAAGAAAAAAAAATAGAAATATAAAGATGAATAAGATGCAGATCAACCTTTCCAGGCTGTTAGGGTGACAGACCGTTCAGTGATTCTGGGCTGTGTTGCACTGATTGTCTATATTATAAGGATTGTAATACAGTATAACATGCCCATGGGCCAAATCCAGTCCATTGCCTGCTTTTGTAAATAAAGTTTTGTACATAAAGTATAAAGCCACACTCATTCATTTATACATATTCTATGGCACCTTCCCAGCTACAACAGCAGAGTTGTTACAACAGAGACTGTATGGCTAACCAATTTGATGAGAACATTTCAAATTGTATATAAAACCAGCACATTGTACCCCATGATTGTATTAATGTACACAGCTATGATTTAATTTAAAAAAAAAAAGAGAGAGAGACTGTATGGCATGCAAGCCTAAAATATTCAGTAGTTGTCCCTTTACATAAAAATATGTTTGCTGACTCCTACCATATTTATAATGACCCTGGCCTATCTGTCTCTCCTAGACTGGGAGCTAGCTTCGAGGCCAGTCTTAGTGCTGTAAGTCCCAAGCACTTAGTTCAGGGCCTGGTGTACAGTAGGGACCCAATAAGTGTTTGCTGAATGAATGGATGCATTGATGAAGTTGCATTCTTCACGACCCTGGTACTCCTCTGCAGGGTGCAGAAGTGTGCGGCTCTAAACCAGATGTGCACACGGAACCTGGCCCTGCTGTTTGCACCCAGTGTATTCCAGACAGATGGGAGAGGGGAGCACGAGGTGCGAGTGCTACAGGAGCTCATTGATGGCTACGTCTCCGTCTTTGATGTAAGATTTTCCTGACCCCTGACCTATTTCTGCAGGGCCCAGAGACTCTGGATACTGGTACCTCAACAATCACCTAGCCCAGGCCTCCGATTGCCCTTTGCATCAGGAAGCACCTCCCTGGCACCTGGCCTCTTTCTCTCATTAGCTCACTCCCAACATCCTCATCCCCTTAGTTCTTCGCTCCTTGGGCCTCCAGCTCTCTTAAGCAGGTCCTCTTTGGCCTTGAGATCTGCCCTGTGTCCTCCTTTTCCAGCACCCCCCCACACACACACTCTCTTTTGGCTCTTTCACAGATCGATTCTGACCAGGTAGCTCAGATTGACTTGGAGGTCAATCTTATCACCACCTGGAAGGATGTGCAGGTAATTTATCCTAGCTTCAGACTTCTGAGTAGGGCAGGAGGAGACATCAAGGTGGGAAGCGGAACTTCTGCCCAGTTGAGGAAGTTTCCTTTCAGCCTGTCCTTCTGGACACTGGCCCTCTGTTCTCTGAAAAACAGGGAAAACCAAGCTCTGGATAGTTTTTTTGTTTTCTGTGGAGCACAGTGAAGCCAGATTTCTCCTACCCTACCATTTTATTTATATATTTATTTTGTTTTGTTTTGGTTTTGGCCAGGGCTAGGCTTGAACCCTCCACCTCTGGCATATGGGGCCAGTGCCCTACTCCTTTGAGCCACAGGTGCCGCCCCTACCCTACACTTACAGTGATGTCACTCACGGCTCTGAGGATTTAAGTGTAAGAGATCCAAGGAAGAGTCAGTAAAGCAGTCAGACAAAGCAGTGAGAATAATAATGTATATAAAAATAATAGCAAACATTAGCTGAGGAATTATTATATTCCAAGCACTTCTACTCTCATTTTAGCATCATACAACTAACTTCATGAAATACATAATCCCACTTGTTTTTCAAACAAAAAACTGAGGCTCAGAGGGTCACATATTCAAAGTCACACTGTACTGAGTGGCAGAGTTAGAACCCAGGCAGTTTGACTTCAAACCTGTCCTCTCAAGCTCTATGCTTCACTGCCTCGGGAAGCACATACATAGCCTAAAGATGCAGCTCCACCACTCTTGGAGTTCTCTCTTATAAGGGCAAGAGAGATGTTGGGGATGAGGGCTGGGAGGTGCTATAAGCAACCTGAGGGATCCTCTTTGATTTTTTTCATATCCTCTTGTATCCTGACTTCTTTACCCCTCCTTTCAGCTGTCTCAGGCTGGAGACCTCATTATGGAGGTTTATATAGAGCAGCAGCTCCCAGACAACTGTGTCACACTGAAGGTCAGTCCTGAGGGGAGGATTGGAGGGGAAATGAGAGGATAGTGGGGGCAAGGACAACAGCCTGACCAGCATGGGTTCTCTGCTGTTGCCCTGACCCCAGGTGTCCCCAACCCTGACTGCAGAGGAGCTAACTAACCAGGTACTAGAGATACGGGGGACAGCAGCTGGGACAGACTTGTGGGTGACTTTTGAGATTCGAGAGCATGGGGAACTTGGTGAGTATGATCGTGAGTGTGCGTATGTGTGTGTATGGTTATATGGTCAAGGTCATCAATGACTTCATTACCAAACACAATGAGCATTCTACTCATCCACAAGAGGGGATATTCAACACAGTTGACCTACTCCCTCTTTTGCAGTACTCTTCTTTCTTGGCTTTAGAAAATCCTACAACCTCCTGGTTTCTCTTCAATCTCAAAGGCAGCTTCTCTTCTTCTGCCCACACTCTAAATGTTAAAGGGATCTAGGGCTCAATCCTGGGACCTTTTCTCTTCTTTATCTACATTTCTCCTTGGAAGAAGAAAGCATGGCATTCCTGTGGCTTTAAATGCCATTAATAAGATGACACCATTTTTTTTCTCTGGCCCGGACCTCTCCTCTGAGCGCCAGATTCATATCCAACCGCCTACTTGGCACCTCCATTTCTCACAGCAGCTCAAATTTAAAGCATTTAAGACCAAATTTGATTCCTAGCCCCCTCGCCTAATAAAAACCCAGGCCATTTTCTAGTGGTTTCCATCTCAGTAAGTGGCACCACAGTTCACCCAGTTATTAAGGCCAGGAAGCTAGGAGTCTTCTGGGAGTCCTTCCTTTCCTTCATCTTCATATACAACCCATCAACTAGTCTTGTTGATTCTATTAGAATCTATCACTTCTCTGTATTCAACTGTTAACCACCGCCCTAGTTGAATTCACTGTTATCTTTCTGTCTCCCAACAATAACCATGAAAATGTATGGCCCTGAAAAGCAAATTGCTGGACAGTGTTCCCATTCTTGCTTTCCTATAATCTGTTTTCCACACAGCAGCCAAATGAACATTTTGAGCTTAAATAGATCCTGCCATTTCTATGGTTAAAACCCTCTAATGGCTTCTCACTGAACTTAAAATAGAATTCAAGTTCTTTATCGTGGCTTACAAGATCCTGAATGCTTATTCCACAGACCTCATCTCACATCGCCTGTTCTTTTATCTATCCTCTTTACTGCAAGTACACTGGCTGTTTAGTTCCCCAAACACATCTTTCCTGATTCAGGGCGTTTGTTTTTACATTGCGTCATGCTCAAAATCTTCTACTCCCTGATCTTAGCATGTTTTGCTCTTCCTAATCCTTCAGATTTCTGAGTCTCATCTTCAGATGTCACTTTTGAAAGGCTTTGACTACCTTACCTCAGTTGCTGTCCTGTTGTTTCTCTCTCAGCTTCTTGTTTCTTTCAGAGCAGTTGTTTATCCACAATTATTGTATTTGTCTGTTTATTATCTGCTCCCTCATAAGACTGTGTACTTTGGCTCGGCGCCTGTGGCTCAAGCGGCTAAGGCACCAGCCACATACACCTAAGGTGGCAGGTTCGAATCCCCAGCCCGGGCCCGCCAAACAACAATGATGGCTGCAACTAAAAAATGGCCAGGCGTTGTGGTGGGCGCCTGTGGTTCCAGCTACTTGGGAGGCGGAGTCAGGAGACTCGCTTGAGCCCAGGAGTTGGAGGTTGCTATGAGCTGTGATGCCGTGGCACTCTACCCAGGGGGATAGCTTGAGGCTCCGTCTCAAAAAAAAAAAAAAAAGACTGTGTACTTTGTGAGGACAGGTCATGTCTGTCATACTCACCACTATATCCTAGGGCTAGCACATTACCTGGCACCGAAACAGTGCTAAAATAAAAGTCTCTGGCTAGATGATGGAATGGATAAATGAATTAGTGACTGCTAGGAGATGACTTGGGGGCTCTAAGCTTTGCATGGCTATTCTGACTGTTATCTACCTCCATCTTGCCTCTTAAGAGCGGCCACTGCATCCCAAGGAAAAAGTCCTAGAGCAGGCCCTACAATGGTGCCAGCTCCCAGAGCCCTGCTCAGCTTCCCTGCTCTTGAAAAAAGTGTCCCTGGCCCAGGCTAGCTGCCTCTTCACAGGTGAGCCTCCTCCCTCATCTCAGCCCCACCTCTCAGGCCTTTCCTCTAGGACCCTCCACCCAGCACTGCCCATCTGTGCCCAGGTATCCGGCGTGAGAGCCCTCGTGTGGGGTTGTTGCGCTGTCGTGAGGAGCCTCCCCGCTTGCTGGGAAGCCGCTTCCAGGAAAGGTTCTTTCTGCTACGTGGCCGCTGCCTACTGCTGCTTAAGGAGAAGAAGGTGAGGTCTTAGGGTCAGAGGCATGGGACATTAGGTGGCCATGGAGGAGAAGCCATGACTGTATCCATCCTCTGATTCCATGGCCCACACTTTCATCAACCTCATTGCTTCCTTGACTCCTTGAGCTCTCTGACCATGACCATGTACCATAATGCTCCCATGACTTATTGCTCTCATTAACCATGATCTGTTCTTATATCTCAACCTCACTGACTGTGTTCATGTTTCAGAGCTCTAAACCAGAACGAGAGTGGCCTCTAGAAGGTGCCAAGGTCTACCTGGGAATCCGCAAAAAGTTAAAGCCTCCAACACTGTGAGTTTTCTTCTTCATTCTGTACATCTAGGGCCTTCCTGCCTTCATTTACCCTGGCCTTTCTGATCTTTCCATTACTGTTCTCCTTTGCATCCCAGGTGGGGCTTCACATTGATATTGGAGAAGATGCAACTGTGAGTACCTCTTGGCCTGGCTTCTCCTCTGGCCCACCCTGTGCTTTCCCCTCTTCCCTCTTTCCTTCCTTCATTCATATATATCTGTCCCTTCTCTCCCCTTAATTCTACTTTGATTACCACCAGCTACTTGTCCTGCACTGATGAGGATGAGATGTGGGATTGGACAACCAGCATCCTTAAAGCCCAGGTACAGGGAAGGAAAAGGTTGAGGGCTCAGACTGTGGTTCCCCTATAGGTAGGGATATACGCCTACCTGTCCCCCTCAGTCCCTCCCATGCCCACCAGTGCCAACCTCCTCACCCTTTTGCCAGCATGATGACCAGCAGCCATTGGTCTTACGACGCCGTTCCTCCTCTGACCTTGCCCGTCAGAAGTTTGGCACTATGCCTTTGCTGCCCATCCATGGGGATGACAGTGGAGCCACCCTCCTCTCTGCCAATCAGACCCTGGTGAGACACCCCAGCTTGCCCCAAATCCCACACGATCTCTACCCTTACCCTTGTCCACTGCATAAGGGAGTGGTGGGTGAGGTGTGGTGGCTCACGCCTATAATCCTAGCACTTTGGGAGGACAAGGCTGGAGGATTGCTTGAGTTTAGGAGTTCAAGATTATCCAGAGCAAGAGTGAGACCTGTCTCTACTAAAAGTAGAAAAATTAGTCAGATGTCATTGGTGCATGTCTGTAATCCCAGGTACTTGGGAGGCTGAGGCAGGAGGATTCCTTGAGCCCAGGAGTTGGTTGCCCAAATTCTAGCCTGGGCAACAGAACAAGACCTGTTTTAAAAAAAAGAGGGAGTGGTATGCCTGCTAACCTGGTGCTCCCCTTTGCTCACTGCTCGCTGTCCCCCTCCCTTCTGCCTTCTCTGTGCCCCTATTCCCCACCCTGGCCTCCTGTTACCAGACCTCACTGTGTCTTTGTGTTTCTCCCTTCCCTTAAACCCATCCCACCTGTTCCCAGAGGCGACTACACAACCGGAGGACCCTGTCCATGTTCTTTGTGAGTACTGTGCCTGTTCTAGCTGTGTTCCTCTGTGCTGCCTGAGCCCTAGGTGTGCTCCCTGTGTTTTCCTGATCAGAGTGTGTACGTGTGTGTGTGTGTGTGTGTGTGTGTGTGTGGTGAGAGAGAAGGGAAGGCAGAAAGAATGAGGCAAATGAAGGATGATAGGATGTGGTAAGGAAAGGAGAAAGTGGTCTGAGAACCTGTGAAATAGAAGGAAAGTAGTTAAATGAATGCAATTGGGAGTCAGACAGACCTGGGTTCAAGCCCCAGTTTTACCATTTACTCATTTTGTGATTTTGGAGAACTTACTTAATCTCTTTCTACCTCTTGCAGTGTAATCCATTGCACAAGGTTATTCCAATATCATACATGCCAGGTATTTTGGAGCATCTGGCCCAGAAGAGCTCAATGAAAGTTAGCAATTAGGCCACATGGTGGCTCATGCCTGTAATCCTAGCATTTTGGTAGGCTGAGGTGGGAGGATCACTTGAGGCCAGGAGTTTGATACCAAACTGGCAACACAGCAAGACCCCATCTCTAAAAAAATAAAATAAAATAAATTAGCCAGGCATAGTGGCAAGTGCCTGGAGTCCTAGCTACTCAGGAGGATGAGGCAGGAAGATCACTTGAGCCCAGGAGTTAGAGATTACTGTGAGGTAGGATTGTATCACTGCACTCCAGCCCTTGTGACAAAGTGACATCCTATCTCTAAAGAAAAAAGTGATTAATAATCTTGTAACTTGTAACAACTCTGTGCCCACTCCTGCCATCCCCTTCCCATCTAGCCAATGAAGTCATCCCAGGGGTCTGTGGAGGAACAAGAGGAGCTGGAGGAGCCTGTATACGAGGAGCCAGTGTATGAGGAAGTGGGGGCCTTCCCTGAATTGACCCAGGATACCTCCACCTCCTCTGCCATACAAGAACGGACAGACAAGACAGAGATCCCCCTCACCAGCCAGAAGTCCTTTGATCAACCCCTTCTCTCCAAGGCAAGCACCCTGAACCAGGAGGAAAGGCCACCTGAACCCCCTCCAGGTCCTCCTTCGAAGAGCAATCCCCAAGCACAAGGATCCCTAGAGGAGCAGCTGCTCCAGGAGCTCAGTAGCCTCATTCTGAGGAAGGGAGAGACCATTGGAGGACCAGGAAGTCCTTCCCAGCCATCCAGCCCCCAAACCCCCAGCTCCAGCTCTACTGGCCTTCCAACACGGACACCTAGCTTCCCCACACAATCCTCCTGCACTTCCAGTCCACCCTCCAGCCAGCCCCTCACATGATCCTAGGACCAGCAATCAGAGAGGGTAGGTACCCAGAAGACCCAGAAACTCGGACCATGGCAGACACTGCTGGGAGCTGCTTCTTCCCTGGCTGGAAAGACTCCAAAATCTAGTGTGGTGCTATGGAAGGAGCACTGGACTAAGTACTCTAAAAGCTGTGTGTCCTAGGATGAGTCATGGTCCCTCTCTGAGACTCAGCCCATTTACTTGTACCATAAGGGAACAGAAATAAGGAGAGCAGTGAATGTCAAACTGTATTTCTCAGAGATATAAGCCAGCCCCACATATTTTCACTCAACAAGGGCAGCTTCTGCTTTATATATTTGATATGTAGGTGTTCTGTGAGAGATTTTGGATTTCAAAGGAATGGTTTTACTGCTTAAAGAAAAAAATGGGGCTCGGCGCCTATAGCTCAACCGGCTAAGGCGCCAGCCACGTACACCTAAGGTGGCGGGTTCGAATCCCCAGCCCGGACTCGCCAAACAACAATGACAGCTGCAACCAAAAAATAGCCGGGCGTTGTGGCCGGCGCCTGTGGTCCCAGCTACTTGGGAGGCAGAGGCAGGAGACTCGCTTGAGCCCAGGAGTTGGAGGTTGCTGTGAGCTGTAATGTCACGGCACTCTACCTAGGGGGATAGCTTGAGGCTCTGTCTCAAAAAAAAAAGAAAAAAAGAAAAAAATGGTTTGGAAGCCAGAGGCTTGGATGATATCCAAATGGTCTATCATAGCCCATTTCCTACACTGAAGCCCTGGCATGGGGTGATTGATTGGGGTTGGTGGCTGGGGCAAGGGGAAACCAAAAATGGGCGAGTCACTATTAATAAAGCTTGGAACCAAAAGGCTACTACTCTTTTATTCATTCATTCATTCATTCATTTATTCATTCATTCAATGAATACATAGTAAGCACCTAATTGGTGCCAAGTCTGGGAATATAGTATCAACAAAACAAATGGGGTCCCTGCTCTTAGAGATCCTCCAGTGTAGAGGGTAAACAGAAAACAGAAAATACACATATAAATCAATACATGAACAAGTGAGTTTGGTCAAAGTGATGAACTTGAGTGTTGATTGTGTGGTCTTTGGCTGAAATGTATAGGGAAGGCCTCTGGGAAGAGCTGAAAAAGAAGGGACTGAAGCTGTAGAGGAGGAGACAAGTGCCGGGCGGTGCTTCTGAAGAGGAAAAACCACCAGTGGAGGCATGAAACGGTAGCTGAATATGTGAATCTGGAGTTTTGATCCAGGGCAGAAGTGCAGGGTCAGGGGCATGGGCCAAGCGAACTTAGGTGAGGAGGATGAAGAAACGGGGTAATGATCCTCAGAAGTGCTAGGGCTGCAGATCTTGTGGGGAAGACCCCACAGGTGACAGGGGATTTCCGGGCAGGAAGGCCCCAGGAGCATCTCCTCCTAGCTCTCATCTACTTGCAGGTATTGGTTTGCAGCGGGGCCAGGATGTACCTTTCTTTCTCTGGAGCCGGTTCTTTCCCGGCTCCAGGCGTCTTTCTCATCCTGCTCACGCTGGCTTTTCCTGTTCAGCGGGAATTGGGAAAAGGTCTGGGACCAGCTCTATCTCCCTCCGTCAGAAGAATCTTCGCTCAGGTGTCCAGTGACTCAATTTCCCTGGTCATACATCGAATTCCTCGCCATTCCTCATGCTTAGCTAGGGGACTGTTGATCTGCATAGGTAAGTGAATAATTAGAAATAATTACAGGCTGAATCAGTGGCTACACCAGAAATAGAACCCAGGCGTCTTGACTCAGAAGCTCCGGGTTCTTCTGACCGCCCAGAAGACGCTGCGCCCGCCCCGCCGCCCAGACCCTTCCGGGATATTCACAGCAATAACAGAGGTTTAGTTCCTATGGGGCCCCCTCGCGTTTCCGAGCCCTGCGAACTGCGGGACAAGGAGTAGGCGGGACAGTGCCAAGTTCGGGGCGGGGCCTCACCGTGGGCGGGGCTTTCTCGAGTTCCGGAGTCCAGTCGCTGGCAGCCTTGACCGGAGCGGAGATGCAGCCGCCGCCCCGAAAAGTGAGCTCGGCCCTGGAATGGGGACTCCTGGCGGGCTGGGGGGTCCGGGGTAGTCAAGTGGGCATCAGACTTGGGGTGGGAGACGGGAAGTGGGATGGATTCCGAACCCAACCCAGAAGTAACTGAGGAAACAGCTCAGTCCCTCCTCGGCCCCGCCCCCTCACCCCTGCGCGGAGTGTTTTTTAGGTCTCGGAGCAGAGGGTCTTCATCGTTCCCTTGCCTCCACAGGTGAAGCCGGCCCAGGAGGTGAAGCTTCGCTTCCTGGAACAGCTGAGCATCCTTCAGACCCGGCAGCAGAGGGAGGCGGATCTACTGGAGGACATCAGGTAGCCCGATCCCTTAACTTACACCCACCTTTACCGTTGCGCGCCACTTCTCCCCCAGCCTACATCCACCAGTGTAGGGCGAGGGGGGTGCACAGGGGCGAACTATTCTCTGACCTGACCAATTCATGGCCCTCACCCTAGGCCTGTCTCTCCAGATACTGGATAGGACTGATCCCTGCCCCACCCCTCACACACAAACACGCAGGAACCCTGCCTCAGATTCCTTGACTCCACACCACTCCTCTCTCTCCCACAATCAAGCCTAGGACAGAATTCTCCGTCTCCTTCCAGACCCATTGGAAGACTGGCAAACCCCATACCCAGGGTCCAATTAGTCCTCACCTCTAAGCCCACAGATGGACCCTCTGGGGTGGGGAGGATCCTGCCGGGGCTCTGAGGGCAGGCTGTCTTATGGTGAGATTGTCTTGTGTTGTGGCTGCCTGAGGTTATCTCAAGGACTCCCTCTGTTCATTCCCCTTCCATCTGAGGGAGTCAAACTCTAGGAGCTTGACTCCCCCCTTCGTCCTGTCCAGGTGAGTAGAGGACTAACAAGGGAGAATAGGATGAAAGGCTAATTCTATATATCCCCACCCCCATCTCCACAGATCCTACAGCAAGCAGAGGGCAGCTATTGAACGGGAGTATGGGCAGGTATGGGACTTTTCTCTGGCCCTTCTCTCTTGTTCTAGCCCCCTTTAAACCACAAGCAATGTCTCCACACATATCTCTGTTGTGGTCAAGAGCAAAGGTCTAAAGTCAAACAGCCTTGTATTAAGTCTCTGCTGTGTACTTATTAGCTGGGTGACCTTGGAAGTTATTTAACCTTTCTTTGGCCTCAGTTTCTTTCTCTGTAAAATGGGAATAATATAACACTTAACCTTTATGTAGAGCTGTTGTAAGGATTAAATAAACTAATGAGTATAAGGCATTTAGCAAAGCTGGTGTCCGTAATATCCATCCAAAGAATGTTATTATTGTGCTCTGATCCCATATTCTCTGTTTAGGGGTGGGTCTTTGAAAGGGAACTGGGTTTGTGATGGCTTTTTCACCAGGCACTTCAGAAATTGGCAGGGCCATTCCTGAAGAAGGAAGGGCAGCGGAGTGGGGAGATGGACAGCAGGTGAGGCCCATGGATGGGTAAGGCCTCAGGGGCTCAAAGGTTATGGGGAACTCAGCCCCAGGAACCTGTGAGGATGAAGGCCTAGTGAGTACGAAGGGGGCTGCAGGTAGAGCTGACACAGCAGCAGGAGAGGAGCTGATCCTGCAAGGACACTGTGGGTGGGGGTGGGGGACATGAGTGAGCCTTGTGGCTGAGCTAATGGGTTGATCGATTGATGGGCTCCCAGACAATGGGGGATGGGAAAGCACTCTGTCTCCTATGGTGTTGGAGGGGTCATCTCATGAAGCTGTGAAGTGTTCCCCTCCTCAACACAGATCTTCTCTGGGGAGGGGCAGGACAGTATTTGGTGCCTGGCGCTGCCTGCTGGATGCCACCATGGCTGGAGGCCAAACTCGGCTCCATGCATCTGACCGATACCGTGACCTAGCAGGACGGAGTGCCAAGGAGCAAGTGCTTAGGAAGGTATGGCTCAGTGGACGGGGTGAGGGATGAGCTGGCTTGGGATCAGAGGTGGTCTGGGTCAGGACTTTGTGTATCTATGCTGCTAGGGGACAGAGAACCTGCAGAGGGCGCAGGCTGAGGTGCTGCAGTCTGTCCGGGAGCTGAGCCGAAGTCGGAAGCTGTATGGGCAGCGAGAACGTGTGTGGGCCTTGGCACAGGAGAAGGCAGCTGATGTCAAGGCCAGGTGTGGGGTCAGGGGAATTAGGAAGTCCAAGGTTGGGGGATGGGGAGGTATGGGGTTGGTGTCAAAGTGGTGTCAAAGCTGGGCCTGACTCTGACTTCTCTTGCTTGTCTGCACAGGTTGAATCGAAGTGACCATGGGATCTTCCACTCTCGGACCAGTCTCCAGAAATTGAGCACCAAGGTTTGGGGGATGAGGGCGTGAGTGTGAGAGCAGGGAAGGTAGGCAGAATATGGTTTAGAACTCAGGGGCATAATTATGAGAGACTGGGATGAATCTTTCTTAGGTAGGTGACCTTGGTTGACTTACTTGATCTTTCTGAACCTTATTTTCTTCATCTATGAAATGGAAATAATATCTTTCTTTTTCATTCCCTTAATATGCATTTATTGAGCTGTATGTACTAGACAGTTTCTGAACACTGGGTACCTGGAGGAGAACACTACCAGTATAGTTCCTACTCTCACAGCCTTGTTAAGGGAGACAGAGAGTTAATAAGTAAATAATCAGATTAAGAAGAAAATAAAACAAGGTGTTTTGATAAAGGTAACAATGTAGAGTAATATAATTTAGAGAGAGGCCTTTCTGAACATGTGGTCTGAGCCTCAAAAAAAGGAATTAGCCATTCAGAGATCTAGGGGAAGAACATTCTACAGAGAGTAAATGGTGAGTTCAAAGGCGCTAAGGTGAGAATAACTTTGTAGGTTAAAGGAACTAAGAACAGGCCAGTGTGGCTAGAACACTGTGAGCAAGAGAGCGAGCACTCGAGAAAAGGTCAGAGAGGTTTCAGGGGCCAACTTACGTTGCACTTAGTAGACCATGATAAGGAACTGTTGGGATTTTGTTTTAAATGTTTGCAGAAGCTATTAGAGCAGTGGTTCTCAACCTGTGGGTCGTGACCCACAGGAACTGTATTAAAGGGTTGCGGCATTAGGAAGGTTGAGAACCATTGCATTGGAGGATTTTGAGTAGGAGTTGTGAGTATGTGAAATGTTTAGTATAGTGCCAGGCACATAGTAAGCACTCAATAATGTGAGAATCCATTCTGGATCTGGGTTCTCAGTTGGTCTTGGAAGGACCCTTGGAAGGGGTCCAGAGCTCCATGTCAGCATCTGTTTCCTTTCCTAGCTATCTGCCCAGTCAGCCCAGTATTCCCAGCAGCTTAAAGCAGCACGCAACGAGTACCTGCTCAACTTGGTGGCCACCAATGCCCACCTTGATCATTACTACCAGGAAGAACTGCCAGCCCTGCTCAAGGCCAGTCTATATTTTTTTGTTTTGAGACAGAGCCTC